AGAATTCCTCCTTCTAACATCCCAGGGTCCAAGGTGTCCCTCTTCCTCTCTTTCAAACCAAGGAGGGGAAAGGAAAATTCACAAGCTTTCATTTCTCAAAGAAGGGTTAAAAGTCTGAACTCCCAGGATGGCTCGATGCCCGGACATCCAGCAACTCCCACGCACTGGGCACCTTGTAGCTCCCCCTGCTCCTCCTTCCTCGCGGTGGAATTGCTGACAGAACTGCCGCTGTCTCTTTCTCTCTTTCTCTCAGGAGAGAAACTCTGGGGGGGGATGGAGACATCCCAGATTTCTTCCACCCTTCCATCTGCAGGGGCCAGCCCGGTTCCAGTCCTTCCACCACCCTTGGGACCTACCTTCGTCAGATCATGGGGCTTCCCCTCCCCACCCAGCTCGTTGCTGGGCAGGGCAGAGTCCTGCACTGCACGCTGACCGGAACCAAAGAGAGCGAGTTCCCCTGGGAATTCTGCTTTCAGCCCCTCTGTGTTCTCAGAGGCGTGTCTACTTTCAGTTGGCCAATATCTAAATTGACCTCTTCCTTCCGGAAAAAATTCTCTTTCTGTGTCAAACCACGACAGGAGTGGAGTTCTAAGGCAATCTTGAATGAGTAAGAAGGGAATTTTGGGTGTTAGGTATAGAAATACTATGTTAAATATTATGGAAATATACAACTGAGAAATGCTCCCCAATCTTCTGATCTCATATAAACCAGGACTGCTGCAAAAACCCAGCAAGGCTGTAGAAGCACTTCAGATATCTTGTCTCCTACTGCCACCAGAAAATAGAAAAAGACTACAGCTATTGGTGAGAATGATGGCAAGAATTTGTCTAAACCAGGATTTGCCACGTCTTTCTGAATCAGTGAGGACCAGAACTTTGGTATGTATAAGTGTAAGGTAAAAGGTCTGGACAGACTTTTGGAGCAGCACAGGTTAAAGATTCTTACTGGACAGTTCAAGCAAAATACAGTTTGCTTGTTTAGGGAACTGGTTTGTCTGTCCCAGCTGTTTGGAAAGCTAATCTGAATATGAATAAAGTGGCATTTCATGGTGGTTTGTAAGAACACAAAGACCTTGCTCAGAATTTAGAGGTTTCCTTACCTTTCAAAGTCAAATCACCACTGATTTCACTATAGAATAGAAATAGCCACAAACAAACAAGCAACCTCCCCAAAAACAAACAAGCAAAATCAACCAAAAAAAAAAAAAAGAAAAAAAGCAGATGAGGTCTCTAGCGTTCTTTATCACTGCAGACAGTGTGAATGAAAAAGTGCCTGTTTCAGTCACAGCTTGAAATATGGAGCTGAATGTTCTGATTGACCTGTTTTCAGGCATTCAAAAAAATTAAAATCCCAACTGTTTATTTCAGTACTTCTTTTTTTTTTTTCCACACACAGAAGTCTCTTAAAGTAAGCTCCAGTTTTTGCTAATTCTTCTTCTGTTGGAGCATATACAGTGATATCACTGCACTGATATTTGCAACAACACCTTATTACAAAGTTATTAGGCATAACTTAACTATTCTGACTAGCTAACAACATGTATTTATTTTGGTTAATTTAAAAGTCTTTGAAAATTAAGGGTAAGGGAAAACTAAGCTGCAGAGCCATTCTGTAAAAATTCTATAGCAGCATGCACAAATCTAAATGTGCTCCACAGCAATTAAGTTTTTAGTGAACTTTGAATAGTATTTGATTAAAACAATTTTTTACTGCCAAGGTTATAATTTAATTAACTGTAAGTGGTCTTTAATTACTACTATTGTTGTAATTGAAATGTTGTTTTTAGAAGTGAATCCTTACAGTCTGAATGTTTTGTACTAAGTTTTAATTTAGCAATGTAATGTATGGTACATAACAGAAATCTTTATTACCTTCTGTGATTTTAATGTTACAAGTGGCTGGTGCACAAACAGAAACTCTTGTAACTGAATGCTTGAGCACAAGACTACCTGAAGTTAACTGGACTTGAAACTTGATTTGATGTTTTCAGAATAGTGGTTTCAAGTTTACCCTCTGGTGCCTAATTTCTATTAAATTTCCATATTATTTAAAAAAATCTCTAAATAGAGATGCCCTCTTTAAATAGCCATGTAAAGTGGCTATTTGACAAAGTCTTGAGAATAAAGTGGAAATCATTCATTCTATATCTAAATTCAGGAGTGGATTATCTGTATGAGGCAGGAGCAATTTTCAATGCACTCACATAATGTCACCGTACATAATACATTCTAAAAAATATTTGTATGTTTGAAGTACAGTAAGTATTATGATGTTAAAATATTTATTCTAAAAGATCACTTTTTAAATGTAGCCTGATTCTTTACTTCTCACTCCCAAACAGAAAAATACATTATAATGGTGTGGGTTTTTTCCCTCAGATGGTTCAGGCATTTTCCCGTTGTATTCTCTGCTCAAAGGATGAAATAGACCTGGACGAACTTCTTGCTGCTAAACTAGTATCTTTTCTCATGGATAATTATCAAGAGATCTTAAGTGTTCCTTCTGCTTTAAAGTCTTCCATAGAGGATCATATTGTAAATCTCCAGAGAGTCCAAGTATGTATCTAATGAAAAAAACCCTTATGTCTCTCTGTTTCTAGATTGAATTTACCCTTTGTCCTCTGAAGATCAACAATTCTTAAGAGACTTTTTTTTTGTCTCTGTTAGCTTTTGAGAGCTAGACTACAGGTATTCAACCATAACTATGTGTTTAAATGAAACTAAACAAATATTGAATTTGTTTGGAGACAAGAACTCTTAAATATGTTTTCCTATTTGTCAGCACTGTCTTCCCATGGAATGGGCAAGTTATGTGAGTGAAGAAAACAGAATTATCATAATGTGTTTCCATTAATGTTCTGACTTTTATTTTTCCTTTAGAACTATCCTTACTTGCTCAGTTTTTTCATCTTTCTGTTTCCTGATACCATATTTTGTTTTTGTTCAAAGATGAAACATTTTTTCAATTTTTTCTATTTTCTACTAGAAAAGTAAACTTATTTCAAGAGCTGAATAGGCTTCTTATGTGTCATGTTTTTTGACTTACTGCAACTCACTCAATTAGGGCTGGAGAAAAAAATTATAGTTTAGGGTCTCTATTCAGTATTTCCTCTACTTAATATCTTGTGGTGGTCAATAGATTAAGCCAATTTATGTAAGTGTTTTTCAGAAAACATAGCTATTCTTTTTTTTTTTTACTGTGTCTTCAGATAAAATATGCTGGGGCTGATAGTGATGCAACACTTCCTCCTCCATCATTTTGTCATCAAATCACTACAGGTGAATTTGAATACCAAAGGGCAACTGGCTCTCAAGAACCACTGGCAGCTTTGTTGGAAGAAATTGTAATGAACAAAGAAATATCTGTGAAAGATAAAAAGAAGAAGCTCAAGCAAGTAAATAAAAATTTCTCCACAGTTTCTAATTTTAATTTGAAAAGATTTATCAAGTTTTAGACATGTATTCTTCTAGAGAAATACTGAAGTTGAAAACAGTGGCTACATATGGGGATTTCAAGATTTATAATAACCTAGAACAAATATGCTGTGATGAATCAACCCAAATCAGAAATACTGCCTAATTTTCTATATAGTGGTGTAGAAAGTCCATTAGAGATACAATTTCCTTGCTCCAGAAATGCAATCTTCACTTTAACAGTTTATTGTACATGTTTAAACAAATTCTTAATTTGAATTAATGTACTTTTCTAGTTTCAGAAATCTTATCCTGAAGTGTACAGAGTACGATTTCCTAGCCCTGAAACTGAAGCGATGCTATTTCCTGAAAAAACTAAACAGAAACCACCAATACTGATGTGGGCCTTAAAAAAGCCTTTTCAACCATTTCACAGAACCAGAAGCTTTCGGATGTAAATGGTTTGAAATATATCAGCAAACTAACAGAGACACAGTGTATTGTCAATGGATCTCATGCAAAAGGAGCCTGAGCTGCACGTGGTTACTCAAAAAAACTACTGGGGATACTGCTGAGATCATAGAAAATGTTGAAAGAAGAGGAGAGTATTGAGGTTGTAGTAATGTGAACCATTATCAGTATTTTTATAAGGCATTATTTTTTAAAATGTCTGTTACTTTAAAACAACCAACAAAAAACAGTAACAAAAAAAGGTACACAAACAAACCCACCACACACTCAAGGGGATTATTCTATATATGGGTGATAATGTACACTTGCTGTGGTTGGGTTTGACTATTATTTTAAGGCCTAAATGTATTTGTGTGTAATGTATTCTTTGTAACTAGTCAACAGCTTTTTTTCCTCCCTGAAAATGAGTGTCTTGCATAAACTAGACTGTATTTGTGCACATGTAGTGTGAGGAATTAACTTACTGTACATGCTTGAGTAAGTATGAAACACTGGATTTTGCTTTGCTTTTTGTGAGAGACTGTTGTATTAAAAGTTAACAATGCAACCAATCGGCTGTTTGCACCTCTCAACCACAGGGGAAGGGGAGTGTTTTTGGGTATGTGGTTATGCAACTTCTAGGTCTGCCCAGGTGCATAGGGGATGAGCACCTATCACCAGAGGATGACCATGACAAACCCACCTTTGTGTAGCAGCAAACTGGTGTTTGAGACAGATAAGGGAAAACAACTCCAGAAGCAGATCCTGCAATGTGGGATGCTGGTTTTTATCATGCCAATTTCGTCACTTATGCAACTGGCTCAGGTAGAAAATTCTCTCCCATCTTGAGAGAGATACAGGGACATTCACACCTAGCCTGAGGGTGGTCATCCCTTCTGTTAAGGCAGAACTGGCTCAGCTACATGGCATGACAAACATGGGTTGTGTCTTTTCCTCCAGACTCATTTCTTGGGCCTGCCACTAGAGGACTGCACATGAATCCACTGTTTTAAAAGAGACATGGTAAAACTGAGAAGCATCCAGGCATTCCCAGCTGAACCTGTTGAACCCATTGGACTTTGGGTTTCAAGGATTTCCCCTGGACCTTATGGATCAAAATTGTAACTGTTACTTCAACCACTGGACATCTAAATTGCAACAATCAATTGTCATAGGGTGGTGATATCTTTTCACTATCTATTCTCATCCTTTATTTTTATTTTCCTTGTATATTTTCTCAGGTGTAATAATTTTACTTTTATATTGCTATATTTCTATAGCTAATAACCATATCTGCTACATACTTTCTTTCCATTTTAACCAAATTATTCCAAAATTTTCTATCTATCTTATCTATCTATCTCATTCATTCACTGTTATGTCACCCTAGTCTGCCCTGAGAGATCTACTAAAAAGAACCTTTGTTAACCTGCCTCAGGGGCATGTTGTAACACTGCTGACCCTAACATGGCAGATTTATTTTGGAAAAGAAATTCTTAATTTTCTGATTCATATGTGCATAACAGCTTGAATGAACTTCCTTTGAAATTCCATTAGCTTTATGTAATGCTGACCTATTCTGATAGGCAACACAGCCTTTTCCCCCTATTTTCATACTGCATATTGTACAGAGCTGGGGGCTTGACAATATTTTCTCAGAGAATTTTAAAGCCTTGAGATTCCTCTAAAAATGGAACTCAGATATTGAAGTGGCATTGTAGCATACATGCATTTATTGATTTGATTCATTTTGCATTATGAAATCTAGTGTACCTATAACCTGATATAACCTGTACATATTACAGAGTTGAATCTGAGACTACTTTTTATCTATTAAAGCATTGCTCTTTTCTTCTATATACCTAGAGTCGCGATTTCATGCTATTCATTTGAGATTTGAAAAAGGGCATTTCATAGCCTATTGAATGTCAGGGTAGTCTATTCTGGAGAGAAGACAGCTGACATCTCAACAAATTTCTGACATTTTAGTAGAAAATGTAATGCAATATTGACAGCATTTGTACCTTGCTAACTTCCTAACCAATAATAAGGTTATAAATATAATAAGTGAATACGTTTCATTATGTACATTACAAGATGGTTGCTTTAATAAGCTTGGGCTATTTCTTAGGCAGTGTGACATTGAACAGTACGTGTTTTCATGGTCTGTTCTCACAGACATACTTGGACTTCATATCAATAATATTAAGCAAATTTGATACAGAAAGATACACTTTTCAAATATTAAGGAAATATAAAGATTTCTTTAAAAAATAGTCTGAGGGCATTTCTATGCTAGGTCTTCAAGAGTGATAAAATCTTAGATGTGTCATAGTATTCTGTGTATGTTTACATGCTGTCAGACTTTGACTGTAACTAGACTACTCACATATATTTTGTTACTTCACTAATCCATGTAGTATAATAAGTAAGGCTGGTTGGAAACAAGTCTTGCATAAAAGTGGAAGCCCATCCTAAGGGATCTCTGCCATCACGTCCTAAATTGCAGAGGAGAAGTTGAAGCCAACCTATCTGCCCTTTGCAATAATTTTACTGCCTGCCAATAAGCCTTCTGCTGTGCTGTTGAAATTTTCTCTATTATCCCTTTTAAAAAATATGTAGCCTTCCTGGGTCTATTTTAAACAACAATTAAAGTTTAACAATTAATTTTCATTATGAGAAGTTGAAGATAAGACATATGTTTCTATGAATTGATCATGCTTTTGTTTCAGAGATCTGAAAAAAAGAAACCCAAAAAAGTCAATTTGCTCACAATTTCCAAGGCTGTGAAAAATACAAAGTATCTTTGAAAACCTTGAAGGAACAGTAGGGAGGGAATTTTATTTGAGATCATAATCTCAGACTGAATTTTAACTATGCTCCTGTCTTGGGAAACACTTCAGAAAAGCTTCTTTCAATAACAGAAGATATGTGAGTATGGCTCCTTATTACAGCTGAACCAAGTGTAAATATTGATGAATAGGGTAGGAACACAAAAGTAAGGTTAGCTAAGTAAACTTGCCTATTCCTTTCAGGGTGCAGCTTAGAAAAAGTAAACTTGAAACCTAATTCAGGGAAGACTCTAAGCTTGGTAAAATATCTCAGAAAAATAGAGATTCTCTAACCCTAAACTGTAGGCAATAATGAATTCATGAAAATAGTAGTGTTTACTTTTGATAAAACAATTTTGATACTAACTTTCTCAGGAATTTAACGCTTCTGTGTTAAAGCCCTACGATGCCTTCATACTGCCAAGACCGAGCATCATGGCCTCCCCAGGTTTATTTCCCTTGAACCATGAGGCCCACAAGCCAAACTTTATTTTGCTTCTCCTAGTGACTGTTCTGAAGACCCTCACTAAGGGTCTTCAGAGGACTAGCTGACATTCTTTTAAAGCACATCAGGAGGAAGACTCAATAAAGGCTGACGTTGCTGCTTTTTTGGCCTGGTTAAATCTATGTTTGTCATCTAAGTGGAGCATCTGGTGTAATCTTGAATATAAGTAGGAGCTAATTCTTGTTAAATTTGGATAATATTTAACTTTGTAGTACTGAAACTCCTAATGTAATGCCAGTCAAGGTAGTATAAGACTTTTTGAGAAAGACCTTTCAGCAGAAACGTTGTGTAGGAGGGGTTTTTTTGTGTGTGGTTTTGTTTTGGTTTTTTTGTTGTTGTTTGGTTTTTGCAACGGTTTTTTTGGTTGATTAGTTTGGGTTTGGTTTTTTTTGCTGTGTTCTTTGACGCCTGCAGAGCAATCTTTTTTCCTTCATTATCTACTCCACCTTGAGTATAATATCTATTGTGACGTACTGGTTATTAGTGGCACATCTGTGACAGTTTTGTTCCAGCACTTCCTCAAAAAGGAAATAATGGTATTTATCTTCCTTTCTTGAGAGGGGAGCCAAGCCTTCACTTAACATTGTCTTTGTCCTTACACAAACACAGCTTTTTGCAGCTCCTAAATTAACAATCAGCCATCTGCGAAACCCTTTAGTCCTGTGCTTTTAATTGAGTAATAGCTGCTATTCTTATTATTATCTTATTTGCTAATATGTAAGGATTATTAAATTCCTCATATTTTGTGAGAGGTCTCTAATTCCTTATTTATGTGCCAGGATTGTGATATCAGCTGTTTACACTAATGGCTACAGAGAATGATTGATGACTAATGTTATTTTCTGAAATTATTTTCAGATGTTCCTTCATATCAGAGGAAGCTTAGGCAAAATCTATGTGATCTTGCCTTCATATTCTACTAATGGAAACAGGAACTAAAGTGAAGTAGATAGTATGTTAATATACCACACTTTTAAATTTATTGTGGTGATATGTCATAGCTTTTTTTGCCCTCTTTTATATGAAGATATTTTACATTGTAGGAGTATCTCTGTCTTTCACAAAGATTGTGCTAACTCAAATAACTGGCTTTATTTCTTGATCACAATTTTTAGAGTTTCCTGAGAGCCTAGGATTCTAGCTCTAGATAACCTCATGTCTTAGATTTAAAATCCATAAACTCACAGATACAGCTCTGTAGGTGTTTTATTACTTTGGAACTTCTGGTGTATTTTATAATAGCTGTCATGCATTTACACTACTATTTTCATGAATTCATTAGTCTTGAAGCAGAAGTGGGAGGAGACAAGCTCATCAGAAAAAGAAAGTCTATAAAATGAGTTTTACTGCAAATCTATTTCCAAAGATTTGCAAATCTTTGGAAATAGATTTGCAGTAGAATGTTTTTTAATCAACATCTCCTCCTGTATAAAATGTCAGTTTTGGGGTTTGATTTTTTTTTTCTGAAGAAACTCAGATTATAGAATAGTTGTGCATCTAGGACATCTTCTCTTTCCATATAAATCATGTTTAAGAAGTGAGTGTTGCATTCTACTGACTAAAAGAAATTGACTGATATACTAAATATAATTATATAAAATCATGTGATATAACTTCCTTTTCATGAGTTCTTCTTTGTGTGTTTAACTCACATTTAATATTGCCAGGCTAATTAAATAACAGAAGATTTAGTGTG